CCCGGTACAGACCTGCTGTGGCCTCAGATGTCCATGCAAAACCTTCTTTCAGATGCGGAAAATAAGGTGCGAGAGGAACTCAGTTTAAGGCCTTGTTAGAGAAAAAAATCGATTGAGTGTAGCGAGGACCTTGAGTGTATAATATCCTAGTGTACAGAAAATCAATATTTGTGGTTAATAAGGATATTAGTCTGCATACGAGCCAAGTGGCTCATCAGGCCGGAGCTTATCCCGGTTTCTGCAGCGTGAAGCGACTAGGAGTATCTCTATTCCTCCCTGGATAGGATGCTAGTCCATCGCAGGGCTACACCCAGCATTAAATTCGCCGGTACTCATTTATACACCTGGGTGAAGAGGGACTGTGAGATTCAGGTGTCTTACCCAAGAACACAACACAATGTCGCCTGCCAGGGTTCGAACCCGTCACGCCCGATCCGGAGTCGAACGTGCTAACCATGAGGCCAACGCACCTCCCATTGGGATATTGAAAGTGGTTTTATTACCTTCCAAAATGATATTTTATACTGAATAACTTTAATATGTTTACCTTGGTGACAGTAATATTATTTCTTAACTTTTTTTGAAGGAGGAATAACTCAAGATGCCCTATTGATGACCAGCCGTTAATAGAGGCAGAGGTGTGTAAAAAAAGCCCTCATTATATGTCAACTACTGCCGTGCGGTTAGTTATGCGAACTTTAATCAATGACAATCTTGCGTAAAATGGTTGTGAGCTTAGAGAACTGAACACTAAACTGAAAGAAGGTTTTGCATGGACATCTGAGGCCACAGCAGGTCTGTACCGGGATCGAAGTTCCAAAGCAAAAGTGGACCGGTTCGTTTTCAAGAATTCGTCGATCTGTGACCGGTTGAGTATTTGTAAGCCAGTTTTCGGTGTAATCTTACCCCGATCGACTACCTCAAGTAATCTGTGTACGAACCGCGAGTGCGGTTCCTTAAATAATATTCAAAAACTTCCTGAACTTAGTGTGACGTACAGTTATAAATAGACCGAGTTGTCACATAGGCTTGTTTTTGAGGCAGTCCGGTAGATCTATACATCATAACTAGATTTGCTTTCTGCAACTCACCAAGTCTGGCAATGTTTGTAGTGCTGAGCAAACCAACCGTAACTGGACTAAAAAATTGTCGTGTATGATTTTAGACCTGCATAAAGTTCCACCCCTTATTATCACGCGATACCAGCCAGTGTTTGTTGTTTTATGTAACTTTAAACATCCTTCTTCAGCAAGGAATTGGTGATCAACATGGTGACGCAGGTCTCCCCATTGAAGAGTCCCATGACACAGCACAAACTCAACAGCTAGTAATCCCAATACAAGAACAGCACTCACACTTCCATCTGGGGGTTTGTGACGCCGGGGCAAGTGGAAGTTCTCACTATGTCGAGGAAGAAGGAGCTGCAAGGCCCTACTATCAGTGTGGACACCACCAGCTACCCTGCCAGCGTGAAGATGATAACCAGGCAAGTGGATGGAGTCAGAGTTTTGCAAGAATTCGTCAAGCTGGTGGCCGGACGACAATACCACAAGGTGGTCAGTTCCACAATAGATTGAATGTCCCTGTTGAAGAGCGGGGATCAAACCATGGATATCATTGTGGATATGGTCTGCAAGATAGAGTGACTTCCACTCAGCAGAGGGAACAAATCACTGAGAATTGCTGCGGCACACAAGAATTGCAGCAGTTATCAAATGAAACCCTTCGCAGGCGAGTAGTAATTTCGGAAATTGTACATTGGCCTTATTTTTGCCGGTAATCTTTTGTTTAAGATTTGAGGACTTACTTTGATCGTTGTTCCGGGCTCTAAGTTTTGAGAAACGCTGCATGCTTTGTATGTTCCTTACTGCTAATAGTAGATGCGTCTTTCAAAGTAATCAACAATGATTTAGATAAACATATACAGGCAAAAACTAACTATAGACAAATCCGACGTTTCGGCGACATCTTGGCGCCATTGTCAAGGGAAACTAATTAAATATGCGATTTCAAGAGTAAGACAAACACTAAGACAAACACTACTCGACAGACAAACACTACTCGGGTTGTCATACCCTTTAAAGACCAGGAGTCTGCTAATATCGTGAAGACACAGTTAAAAGATCTCAGTGTGAAGCTGCAGACTAGTG